GGAGCAGAGCACAAAGCGCTGTTTTCCTGGGGAGAAAGGACAAACCATCTTTCCTACTGGGTCTGTGCTTATAGAGATAGTGCTGTCCCACTGTCCCTGACTTCTCGATAAGCATCCTTCCTTTCCGGAATAGCTCCATAAGCACGTTCTCTCTCTGGGAACAGATGAGGTTCTAGAATAGAGGTGGTGATTGAGGAGGGCTGGTCAGTTGGTCTATATCCTTATGTTTATCATCAAATAACTACCAACAATACAGCACTAAGTTACCATTCTGAATGTGATTTTATTTATATAATTATAATTCTCACAACAACCTATGAAGTAGTGAAGTGTAGATACTATGATGTCCATTTTACATATGAATAAGCGGAGTATTTGTCCCAAGTCACACTGGTAGGAAGCGATGGAGCTGAGATTCAACCCAGGAATACCAGATCCAAAGTCTCTGCTTGTAAGCACTGTGCTGTGTTGCTTTGCAAATATGTATGTTTCACTGATCTGGTCCCTGAAGCATTTATCCCTGCTCCAAGAAGCAGCTTACTTCATTTTAATTTAAAGCAAAGATGAAAACAACCTTAATCTACAGCGCAAACCATTCTTACCCCCTCAGGGGTAATGGGTGCTTTCTGAATGATAGAGACCAGGAGAGGTGCTTTTGGGCCAAAAGCTGCCTTGCAGTTTAGCTGAGGCAGGATTTAGAAATGGCGTGAACAGTGCCTGCATTAGCCGATGGCATGGAGTGCTGAGTGCCAGCAGAGGAGATAAAATCAGACATATGTTTGGATATAAATGTTCTCTCTCTTTCTCTCTCTCTCTCTTTTTCTTTTTCTCTAATTTTAATCCCCTGCTGCTTTGTTGCACTAAAATGTTGGGGCCTTAATTGTGGGCTCTGGACCCCTGAGGTAGTATCGCCTAGGCTGTGTGGGCTGTGTAAGTTCCCCTTAGCCCTCTCCTAGCCACTGTCCATCTCCACAGAAGGAAACCAAAGCTCTCTACCTCGAGTAGCGTGGACTCTGGACCTCTTCCCCGCCACCAATGGGGATCATTTGACCAGGGACTCTACGACATTGTTCTACCCAGCACCCAGCAAGCCACTGGCCTCAATAGCTGTTAAACAGCCACAAGAAAGCTAATGTCTCCAAGCCTTACAAACTATCCTGTCTGCTCTCCCTTCTCTGATAATAAGATGCGGCATAAGACCAAGGAGTGACAAAGGCCTAGAGGAGATGATGGGAGTAGCAGCCACAGCATGGCACTTACAGAGCTCGGGTGGGGTGGGTATTGTGGAGGAGAGGAGTTAAGGAGCTCTCCTCCACCCCGGTCCCCCCTCTCCTCCCACACCTGGTCTCATTGTTGAGCCAAATAGGCAGAAGGCATTCCACTATGGAGAACTTACTCTGATAGGTGCTTTAAGACCTCTGTCACTCCTCTACTCAGCCAAGCTTCCAAGGCTGAGGTTGGGAGAAGGCCAAGCTACCCTTCCCTTTGTGAACACCCTGCCTTATCTACGTCACCCTGTCTCTGGCAGCCATCTGCCGTTGAACCTCAGGATCAGAAGCTGTTCTGTGCAGTCCTGAGACTCGAACTCCTTAGTGAGCACATGTGGCCCTCGGGCCAGCTGTGGGGCGCCTGTGGTCAGAATTCTAGTCAGACCCGGGAGGCCAGTAGAGCCAGTCCTGAGGGGGACTGAGCACCTCTAAGCAGAGTACACATCATTGTCTGTAGGGACGTCGTCCCATTTCCACTGCATATCAGCCAGGAAAGAAAAAGGTTCTTGAAGGCTTAGAAGAGCCTGAGTAAGGAAGGCCCATTTGCTTCGGGAGCCCAGAGATCTGGGTTTCAGTCCCACCTCTTCCACTAAAAGCAGTGTGACCTTGGAGGTATCTTTCCATTTCTCTGGGGCTGTTTCCTTGACCAGACAGTGTAAAAAGGATTAGACTAAAAGATCTTTCACGACCCTTAAGGAATTCTGTAACTTCGTATAAGCAGCAGCAGTCTTTCCCTCTAATGTGTTGCTACAACTACTCCCCTGAAGAACTACCAACCCATGTCCCATTCTTAGGTGACAAACCCTGTAGCTTGGCCGCTGGGCCTGAGGATGAGTCACCAACACAGCATGAAAGCTATTGGTACTCATGGGACTCCTCTCTGAAAAGCTGTCCCAGGTGCCTGCTACAAAGGAGGACATGCCCAATGTTACGGCATTGGAGGCTTGCTGCTCTAAATGCTGAAACGCTGCCCAAGTCGAGGAGTGGACCCAGTGGGGAAGGGAGCTACCCTTGCAGCTCTAAGGAAGCTTATTCCCAGGATCCATATTCTCAGTCTCCCCCACCTTTCAGGTTCCTTCTAGAAAGCACTTCTCCCTCAGATTTCAAGATGGAAATATGCTCAGCCCCCAGGACACATGCGTTTGTTTTTACGACTCTTCCGCAGGAATGTTTTGGGACCATTTCTGTACCCCTGCCTTCAGATCTCTGGTTCATCCACAGACACTTGATCATTCCAGAGCCACTGTATAGTCCCAGACTATCCAAAAGGAGGGGCGGGAGAAAATCAGCCCCACACCCTCTGTTCCTGAAGCAGCTGCTTTCACCACACTTGCCCCTGAGTGTGTCCCCAGGAAGCTGCCCTAAACAGCCTGAGTTGCCTTGTGGCACTGGGCAAGGGATCTTTTCTCGCCTTTCCAGCTGGTCCTGGCCAAGTCCCACCCTTTACTCTGCTGCAGTTTTCTCCTTGTGTTGGGGGTGGGGTGGCAAAGGGGAGGCCGAGGGAAACGTTTATGTGGAGCCCAGAAATGTGAGTGGCAGTATCTAAACGTGCACCATGCACACATGCTGCCACACACCCCAGTACCCAGAAATTACACATACCTCTACCCAGGGGATGAAGAATTGGCCCTTTCTTAGCCAACTGCTGCAAAGTGCCGCCTGCCTCTCTGCCTGCTCAGTGCCAGAGAGCTCACACCCACTCAGTGCCGATTCCCTGCATCAGTATAAAAGCGCTGAAGAGACGCAGGGTCCCGGTTCATGCAGCTTCCCTGGACGTCATCACTTGGGAAGCGTCAGGAGACAGACACCCACCACCACCACCAAGACATGTTTGGCTGTTTGGCACCCAGAGAACAGAAGGAACATTGCCTGTGGGAAATTTAAGCCAAACAGCATTACCGCAGACCTCTTAAATCCAGGTCCCCCAGGGTCCCTGGGCAGAGCCGGTGCTGCCTGACCAGCAGCTTCTGCTGAGGTGGCATTTAACTTCTGGCCCGGTCCCAGGAGCTGAGGCTGACCCATTTCCCCTGCTTTTCCAGGGCATCAGGAATTTGGTTCTACCCCCAACAAAGCCAGGGACTAACACACTTAGCTGGTGGAAGGTGCACTAGAATCGGGGTGCTTTTATTTAAGCTAAGGAAAGATTGTTGACAGCTTTAGCATTTTTAACATTGCCTTCCCCTCCCACCTTACCTCTCCCCTCCCCTCCCCTCCCCTTGTTTTCTTTAAATAGAAATGACTTGGTTGATGCTGGTAAGAACCTATATGATCTTATTCAATTTAACCCTTTAGGGACATTGAATTAAAAATTGAACAATATTTATTAAAATACAAAAATACACTTTTCTCACATTACAATCAGTGTTCTTTTGTTGGCATTCCCCCCCACCCACCCATCCCACCCCTTTCAAATCTGAACCCTTTATTTCTTTTTAAAGCTAAAATAATAAATGAAAGAAGTTACAGCATTAAATGGACCAGAATAACAGAGATCTCTGCCTTTACCACCCACACCCACCCTTTCTCCTCCACCTCCTGAGGTAAGGCCTGGGAGAGGGAAGCCTTCCCCCCATTGCGCTACGTTCAACAGGACTCCTCACAGAACTCGCTTCTTGTGTGCATGTGTATCACTCTTATTTTAACTGTGGATTTCACATCTTTTTTGTGGAACCATCCTGTTCTGTCAAGGCTTCACTGTACTTTAAATGAGCCTGTGCCCTTTTTCTCTGTCTACTTATGTTCTGTCCCCACCCCATCACCACAACCAGTTGACATCAGCTGTAATAATCCCTAATGAATCAGCATTTAGAATAGTCACCAAATCACAAGCATGAGAAAAGCTTCCACTCCCCCAAGCTCCCCAGTCCCAGCCTCTCCTCCTTCTCCACCTTAAAACAAACAAAACCTTTATGAAAAATCATAAAATGCCATCATTGTCTACAATCATTTGTCAGATACCGGGAACAACAGGTGGACATGGCACAATGCTAATTTATGGCCTCCTGTGAATACATTCTCTCTGCTGCTGCTCTCCCTTCCCACCGCCCTCTGCTGCCGCACCCCCTTCAGGGGCCTCCTCCCTCTCAAGGGAAACCCTGAATAGACACATGTCCCCACAAAGAGTGGGTTAAACCCATCTGCAGGAATCTGGTGCAATGTGAAAGCATTTGACTGAGAGCTACGCCAGCTCCCTGCCTTCTCTGCTCCTTCCCGAGGCGCGCTGTCAGGCAGGGCACACGCGTGTCCCAGTGCACAAACCCAGGGGACTTGTGCACATGGACAGACGGGAAGACTGAGCCCCTTTAGGGAGTCATTTGAATTTTGGTGGTTTTCCTGTTTAAAACACAGTTACAGAGCTATCTTCCCCTCGGCTTCTGAAGAAAAAAAATTATTGCCTCTCAACATTTTGGCACAGTACAAATTCTTGGTGCTTTTTTTGTATTTTTAAAATAAGATAAATCTGCAAAGACAGCTCTCAGCTTAAGAAAGGTGTCTATAGAAATGGGTAGTCCTGTATGCTATGAAGCATCTTCTAAAACAGGGTAGCCTGCCCCCCACCCCTCAGCAGCCCGCACCTCTTTAGGGATGTTTGTTTTAGCTTAGCTTAGCAGTTTCAGCCTCAGATCAGAAATCCCTTCTGGCATCATAGCAAGTTGACTTGCGGCTTCAGCCCCACAGCGTTCCCAAGAACCCCACTCCCCCTTTAAATAGAACTTACAAGTTAGAAAATAGTTTTGTTTTGATTTTTTGTTTTTAAATTTTAATATAATCTGTTTCTTTTACCAGCCCATAGATTTAATATATAAGCATATACAAGAAAAAGTCTCTCCCCACTCTGTACAAAAGTTGCTGTCTCGTGTGTGTGTGTATGTGTGTGTGTTTGTGTGTGCATTCTATTGCATTTTATAAGTTTTTGGGGGGAGGGGGAGTCATATTTGCGTTTCCTGTACCTTGTCCTTGGTATGGGTCTGAATTATATAAGGTTCAGAGATTGTGGTGACTGTGGGGTGCAGAGAGTTCCCCAGGCTGTTTTCTGTCCAGTGGGCCCCATGTGCTGGTTTGTAGGTGTTGTAGTTAATATGGTCATGAATTGTGGGCAGCACTACTGCCCCCTCACCTGATACACTGGATGGAGCTGCTGTTGCCGCTGCAGACGCTGCCGCTGGGATGTCTTCATCCACCTGGATAATCTCAACTGTCCGGGCGGCTGTGACCGTACTCCTCTGCTGGTGCCGCTTGCGAAGTTTATAGAAGACAATCAACATGGCGGCAGCTAGCAGAGTCACTGCCACAAAGCAGCCAATGATGATCTTGGTGGTCTTCATGACTTCATCCAGGCTGGTCTGCATCTTATCATTGGTGTCTGTCGCGGGTACCTGCTTGGGCACACGGGTGGTCTGGATGAGCACCGTGGTAGAGGTGGTATACGCCGGCTGATAACCAGTGGACGTAGTAGGAACAGGCTTGTACTTGCGCGTTGTATCCTCAGGTGAGATCTCGGTGGTCTCCACTGTGACAGTGGTGAAGAAGCTGTAGTTGGAGGTGTTGAGCTCGGCCGTGCTCACGTTGAGGTAGGCCGAGGCGTTGGAGTTACCGGCCACGTTGGTCACCATGCATGTGTATACCCCAGTGTCTGAGAGCAGCACGTGGGAAAAGTTCAAGGTGCCGTCATTGAGGACAGAGATCCTTGGGTGGCGGGAGGCGTGGCTGAGCACTGTCCCATTGGGCAGCAGCCACTTCACGGAGGACATGGGGGGAGTCCGACACTTAAGTTCCGCCATCCGACCCTCGGAGATGTTGAGGTCCCGCGGGGCATCCATGATGAAGGGGGCAGAGCACTGGAAGGAGGCCTGGTCCACCTCCACCAGGTAGCGACCCCGCATGTGCAAGGGAGCGTGACAACGGCCACAGCAGGTAGAATTGGTGGGTATGTACTCCCGAAGCCACCAGGCTAGCCACAGAATGTCACAATCGCAGTTCCAAGGATTATGGTGCAGGTGCAACTCCACCAGGTACCTCAGTGGGGTGAAGAGGTCATGGGGCAAAGAAGAGAGGTTATTGTGGGCCAAGTTGAGTTCCACAAGCGAGGCCAGCCCATCAAAAGCATTTCGCTCAATCAGGCTGACCTGTGAGTTCATGACCCACAGCTTCTTGAGGGAGCTTAGGCCATGGAAGGAGCCAGGCCTGATCTCAGGGAAGTGGTTGCCTGACATCTCCAGCTCTTCCAGCCCCACCAAGGGGGTGAGATTGGGCATATCTTTAATGTTGCACATGCCCAAGTTCAGGTACTTGAGGTTGAACAGTCCCTCAAAAGCGCCCTCGGAGATATACTCCAGCTTCTTGAGCTCCCCCAAGTCCAGGCGCATGAGGGAGGGCACCCGGTTGAAGGCATAAGAGGGGATGCTTTCTATGGGGTTGTTGCGAAGCCAGAGCTCCCGCAGCTTGGACAGGTACTCAAAGGCCCCACTGGGGATGACCGTCAGCCAGTTGTCGAACAGCTCCAGGGTGTTGAGGCTGGCCAGGCCGTTGAAGGCCCCCACCTCGATCTGCCGGATGGAGTTCCTGCCCAGCTGCAGGACCTCCAGGTGGTGGAGGTGGCGGAAGGTGTCGGCCTGGATCATCTGGATGTTGTTTTCCATGAGGTTGAGGTACCGGGTGTTGGAAGGGATACCCTGAGGGACCTCGGAGAGGCCCCGGCGGGTGCACACCACCTTGCTGAACTGGTTACTGCACGAGCAAACGGATGGGCAGTTCTGGGGCCCGCTGGAGGCGGCAGCGGCGATGGCTGCACACAGAATCCACACTTGCGCCGCGAGGTAGACTACGGGGAGCAGGACGGCATTCCAGGTGTGGTGCACAGTTACCTGCCACAAGAGCTTCATGGTGTGGCACGTTCATAATTCACCATCGCCTGGGATTTTGGCTCGGAAAGGAGAACCAGCCCTACCCCGGCTTAAATGAGCTAGGAGCTCCTCTTTCCATCTGGAGAAGGAGGTGGGGAGGGGGCGATTAGAGAGACGGAGCAGACCAGCGCGGGGGGGGGGGGGGGGGGGGGATCATGCCCAACTAAAGCGTGGCCCCTGTCTCCAGCCTCCCCTCAAGGTAAACCCTCGGAACGCCGCGACTTTCTCTCCCCCGTGGCAACCATCCCCACCCAGTGAGTCGCTGTCACCTACCTCGGAAGGAAGGAATTGGCGTGGTGTCCTTAAGCGTTCTCCACGGGAGCCGGCCACGTCGTTGCCATTCTTACTTCTTAGTTTTAATTAACAAAAGGGGGAAGTCGAGGGGGTGGGGAGGGCAGAGGGGAGGGGTGGGGAGGGGAGGGGTGGGGGAGACAAAATGGCTTCTAGTAAATCCCGAGCAGGCTACGGCGGAGCGGCGGAGTTGAGGCGCGCCGGGGAGAGCCAAGGCCCGGCGGGCTATGCAGGTGCATGCCCCCCCCTCAGCCCGAGGAGCGGCGCCACCAGCGCTTCCCTGCTTTGTCCTTGGACCCTGGCACCGGCTCGCACCAGCCGCGGGGGATGCCGCTTCATCGCCGGAGCGTGCCTCCGGCGCCCCCAGCCCGCTCCCGCGGCTGACGCCCGGCGGGGCTGAGGGGGCGCCCCGAAGCCTCCCAGGCCGCGCTCGCTCGCTCGCTGCTGCTGCCGCGCTGCCCCCCCGCCTTGTGTCGGCGGCTCCCGGCCGGAGGCAGCTGGTGCAGTCGTTCGCTCGCGGGGCTGCGAGAGTTAAGAGGAGGTGTTCGAGGCTCCTTCGCCCTCCCCAGACACACACCCCCTTCTTTCCTCGCCTCTTCTCGGAAGGGTTAAAAAGAACCAAAACCGGGCTTAGTTTCCTAGTCCGCCGCGTGCCGGCGCGAGGAGCAGCAGTTCGTCCAGCCCCCGCGGGTCAGCGGTGTGCAGGCAGTGCCGGGACCGGCTCCGCGGGCCGGAGGAGCTCGCGGCGGCCGGGTCGCGCCCGTACCGCAGGCCCCTTCAGGGAGTCCGGGGGCGGGCGCGGGTCCGGCGGCGGCGGCGGCGGCGGCGGCGGCCTCAGCCCCCGGTGGCGCGCAACCGCCCGCCGCCGCCCGCCGCAGCCGGGCCCCCGGCGCGCCGCCGGCTCTGGCTTTGTGCGGAGGCAGCGAGTTCCGGGCTTTGGCTCGCGGCGCCTTCAGTGGCTGCGCCGCCCGCGGACTGCTGCAGCGGCCCGAGCGCTGGCGGCGGCGGCAGCGACGGCGGTGGCGTGAGCAGCGGGGGTCGCGGCTGCGGGGAACGCTCCGGAGCCCGAGAACATGGTCCGCGCTCGCTAGCGGCGGCGGCGACGGCAGCAGCGGGGCCCCTGCGCTCGGCGCCCACCGTCTCCTCCTCGCGCCTGGCTCGCGGTGTTGCAGGCAGCAGCCACGCAGACTGCTCTCTCATCCTTTTGTCCTTCAGTCAGAACGTGAATGTACTGCTGACGCATACTGTTCTGGGGAGAAGATTAGCGTGATGCAGTGCTCTTATGTATGAACACCGCTCCCCCTCCGCTGCCTGCCCTCGAGGGGTTAACGCTGGCGCCTTCCAGCGCCGCGCCGCGCAGCCCCGAGCTCCGCGCCTCCGTCCGACTCCCTCCCTCCCTTCCTTCCTTCCTTCCTCCCTTCCTTCCTCCTTCCTCTCTCTCCCCCACCCCCCACCCCCCTCCCCGGCGCTTCCTCCCCGCCCCCTCTAGACGAGCGGAGCGGGCGAGCGAGCCGGAGTGAGCGTCAAGTGAGAGGCCGCGCGCAAGTCGCAGGCGTTCGCAGCTATTTTGGTCCAGCCGAGGGAGCCGCCGGGTGGCCGCTGATAGGCTGGAGCGGCGGGGCTGCGGCGGGAGAGACCGCGGCCCGTGCCCCGCCCCCGGGCGCCGGGCCCCCTCCGGCTCCGGACGCGGTGGGCTCAGGGGGCCGGGAAGCGGGCGGCGCGGCGGGGCTGCTGCAGTTGGCCGGCCTCCCGCCCGGACCGCGTCATCCTCACCCCCACCGACTGCTGACGGGGCTCCTGGCCGCGCGGCCCGGGCAGCATACGCGGAGTTCGGAGCTGCACGGTGGGGACGCGGGGGTGGCTGGGGCCGCTTGGAGCCAGAGGACCGAGAGCCTGGGCTCCGCGGCCCGCCCCATGCTACTGCACGGGTGCCTCTTTGTCCTGCCCCTTCCCTTGCAAATTTCCTCACCCCTCCTCGGCTGTAACTTTGAAATGATAGTTTTCTTAATGAGGGTTGCAGGGAGGGCAGAAGGTGGAAGGAAATACCAAGTGCGAGGAACCCGGGCAATAACGACCTGGGACAGCACAGCAGCCGGCAGGAAGGATTGAGATGAACTCCGCGAAACCACGGGAGAACCCGTTCACTCACGGAGCCTCAGCCAACACTTCTCACTCTTTTTACCTCGCAGTCCTGGGTCGCCCTTTCCCCTCCCCAAGCCGGGTGAATGGAGAGGGGCGGGTCTTAAAGCCTTCTACCCCAGGGCTTCACTAGCTCCTCCTTGTTGCTGGATCCCCCTGAGAAGAACTGCATAACAACCTGCTCCCACTTCTGGGGAAGAGACACCCGGGGGCATTGGACAGACCGGTGCAGGAGAGCAGGACTAGGTCAGCCTTTTCCCCCTGAAAAAGACTGCCCTTTTCTCTTGCCTGGTGGGGGTGGAGCCATCTGTGGCTAAGCCCTGGGAAAGCCCTAGAATATGGCATTGGTTTAGTATTGCTTCTTTGGGGGGGGGGGGGCTGCCTCCAGACTCTCCTCCCTTGTGCCCGGCCCCTCCACCTTGACAAGCTTGCTCCTTAGGTAAACCCCCGTCTCCTGCATGTGGGCTAATGCCAAAGAATGAGGAGGTCGTGGATTTCCCAGTTCTCAGCATTCTACCGCACCGGTATCTCAGGATTGTCTGCTGCCCAGTAACCTGGTTTAGGGAATATGCCCTTAAATATTCCAGGGAATTCTTGAATTCCTAGAAACAGATCTACTGAAAGCAAGCTAGATTCCCCATTGATTACCAAGACCTTTTGATCATGCATTTGCAGTAAAATAGTAACAACTTTAATAGTTAATATGTTGCCTAAAATTATACAATAAGTGGCAGAGCCAAGATTTGAACCCTGGCAGGTACCGGATGTGTAGAAACTTGGGCTTGGAGTAATTCTCCAGTTTGCTCCCAGTCGATGAGAATTCTGGTTTCACTTATCCACCTCAAAAGTCATTTACTAGGATGTTTATCTACTGCTGCTCTCCACTATAGTAAGAATAGATGGTTGGATGGAGAGAGAGAGAGAGATCTTTCTGTACCCTTGTTTAATCTTTGTTTCTCCAGTGAAGTAATTGTCATAGTTGCCTCCATTTTACAGGTGGAGGTCCTGATCTTGGGCAGGCAAATAATACACTCAAGGTCATACATCCACAAAACAACAGAGCCAGCATTTCAATCCAGTCCTCTAACCCTGAGCCCAGTGTTTTCATCACTAGCAGAAGTGTTGTGTCTACGTTGCAGAAAGTAAATGACAGAAGAGGGGTTGGGGTGGCTGTATAAAAAAAAAAATTCAGTGAAGGGTATGTGAGAAATAGAACAGAGGGTGGGAGAGGAAGGGCTGAGAAAATATGTCTTTCAATTTGTTTTACTCCCAGTGACTAGTCAAGAGAAAGAATGAGAAGTGGAGGTGAGTCAGACCCTGATACTAGGCTTCATCTGGGCTCTTTGGTGGCTCCTTTTGCTTTCTTGTAAAGCCCCATCTGTATATCATCAGCTTCAAGCAGGACCCTACCAGCTTACAGACCAGGGAATGTAAATCCTGTCCTGATAGGGATCTGGGCAGGAGAATCAGAAGCCCACCGGTGAATGGTTCCCGTCCTTTCCAAAGCTGGCATCGAGCTGGTAGGATGCCAGAGGGTGCCCGGGCCAGGGACTAATGGCACCCTGGAATATGACTCCCTTTACCTCCTCAGGAGAAAGAGGGGCTCTGCCCAGGCTATTTCCTGCCAGTGCAGGCAAACTCAGACCCCATCTGTTCACTCTGGGCACTGCAAATGAAAGGTGGTGGCCCTATACTGTGTAGGTGGATGGAAGGGTGGGCTGCCTTGGGTCAAACCAGTACTTAGTAATGAGGTTGTCTCCCAGTAAATATTTGTGAGTGATGGATGACCATGAATATGCCCAAGCTTAGTGCAGCACGTGGAGTTCTTGATGGGGCTGCTTTGCCCTCCTTAGGCCAGCTGAGCTGAGAGCATACCATAAAGGCTGTGGGCTAGACTGAGGCGGCTCTAGAGCCATGGGGGCGCACAGCCTCTTAACCAAGAGCAGCTCCAAAACCTCTAACCCTGTGACCTGAATGTCATCTGGCCATCATCCGTTGCTCTTGACAGCCCCAGGTTCTGATAGCTCCCTTGATTTGGAGTGGTGCAACCTGGAAACAGAGAGAAGAGGAAGGCTTCAACTTTGAGACGAAGAGAAGGAAGAAACGCTGGGTTGAGAATGTTGTCACTTGTGATTTCACACAGAGAGACTGCTGTGACAAAGCCAGAGAGAACTGAAGAAGCCAGCCACTGATGAGGCAAGGCTTTTATCCGCAACTTGGTACCTGCGCTAAAGTTGGGATACCTGAGTTCTACTCTCCTTTCTGCCACTGTTACAGATCTTAAAACAGCCCCAAACATTGGTTTCTTCATCTGAAGGAAATAGACTAGAATATTCCCACCAGCTCTCATAATCCCTGGTTCCCACCTCTTCTCAGATACATAGATCTGTGAAGAAGGTTGATCCATTGGGATGATAGCCAAGACTTGGAAATGAGCCACACAGTGGAAGAGAGTGCTTCCTTTAGTTTAATCTAGAGATCACAGTGCCAGAGCAGAGTAGATCACACTTTATTTTCCCGGCTACTAAAAAGGCTGATAGATCACAGAATGTTAAAAGTTAAAGGTGTCTTGGAGATCATCTGGACTCAACCTCTCATTATTGTCATTAATAAAGTTCAGAGAAGCGTAGTGACTTGCCTAAAGCCACATGATTGACTAACATCAGAGTCTGTCATTTCTGAGCTCCATCCGTCAGTCGGATACATCCGACAGTGTATTAGCATTGAAGCCTGGGGCTTGAAGATATTTCCAAATGCCTGTCTTCTGTGGTCTTACATACAGGTTCTGTCATTATACTTTGTTGGACTGGGATCAAGATGGGTCTTCGATAGAACCAGTCTGCCATTCTGAGTGACTTTGGAATCCTAATAAGAAGAAAAAGAAATGGACCCCCAGGGAACTCACTCTAAGGGGACCCAGAACTACCTCACTCAGCCAGGGTAATTGGGCTCATGGTAAAGCCCAGAGCTAGACTACTCGGCACCCTGACATGCATCCCTGAGCCATTATCCCGAACAGCCACTAGATGTCCACAATGCCTCAGAGGGTTTGCCAGGAGTGAGCAATCTTCGGCAGGCTACTATCTTGGCCTCCCAATAGGCTTTTGGGTCCCTTACGATAGGTCCATCAGTAGAAGATCACAGATGCTCTGAATCTCTCGTTCCCATTTTCAGTACCGTTGGGCTGCCAAATCCTACTCAAGCACCTTTTCCATTTTTGTACTTTTTATTCTTCCATTTGAGCAAAGGAAGAAAATGGTTTCAGAAAACAGGAAGAAAAGAAGAGAAAAAATTGTATGGAAATTATCCTCCACAAATGAAGGAAAGACATCAGTTGATTGGTGAATTAGCAGCAACAGAACATTATAAGAAACCACATGTATGGAAATGGTCACCTCTTACCCAAGGCAGTGAACACATCATGCGTGCCCGAGCCCCCTTGCGTTTGCATCTCTCCCTCTCCCCCATGTATGCAACTCTCCCTGCTGGGTGAGCTGGTCACGAAGTCTTTAGTGGATAAGGTCGCCATTGCGAAATAATAGTAAATATTTGTTTTCTTGTCTGTGATCCTTTAGCAAAGCCGTGGCTGTGCTGTTACTGCACACAGTCATAAAGGAAACGGATTTTAGTCCTTGAGCCCAATGAGTCAAGGTGACACAATTGTTCTAGAAGGACCCACTCTTC